ATGCTTCCTTCTGAGCCATCGCCTGTCCCTTTGCCATTCACGCACATGATGATGGAGACAGCTGGCTGGCAGTGTCCCATGACATGACTCGCTAAGGGAAAGGTGAGATGCACGCTGCCCCCAAAGAGCAGGGAAATATGATCCAATGCACACAAGAGCCTATGTTTAGTCCCAGTCATGACTCACCCTTGTTTGTGCAGCATTCATTCAGCAAAGACTTGGAGCTCTGTGCAGAGCACAGCTTAGGCACATTCAGAATTCTATGAAATGAATAAATAAACCAGAAACACTCCCCTTGTGCTTTAACCTCTGCCTCCTGTCTTTGGGCTCCTTTGATGACCAGGATCCTCCCTCCCTCCCAGAGGAATAATGGTAACAACAACAATAACAATAATTCATCCTCTCCTACACGTCTCCTTGCGTGTGCAGTTTGGAGAAAAGCCATGTGGTATGGTAGCAAGTGGGTTTTACGACCTCCCAGATGCCCTCCCCTCATACCTGTTCCTTGAAGGCAGCTCGGGCCAGTGCTTCCCAAGATGTAAGAGTTGCTTTCATAGCACATTTTGAGTCAGTAGCCTCCAGCCAAAAATATCATCGTGATTTTAGCAAAACATCCCGCTGAGCTGCAGCCAGAAGAGCTGTGTTGTTGATGAGCTATTGTTCCATGCAAGTGTCGTCCAGGGAAGAATGCAGTGACCCAGGGAGGCGGGCTGGGGGTGGGGTGTTGAAGCAGATGAGAATCCTGAAGCACCGACTTGGGTGGGATGCAGGAGGGGCTGAAAGGGAAGGGGTGACAGACACCATGATGGATTCAGGGCAGTAGAGACCCTGCTGGTGAGAGGGCTGCAGGGACAAGGACCCAAGAGCAACTGGTCACATGGGAGGCTCCGGGCAGGAGAACAGGGTAAGAGACAGAACATCCCAAGCCAGGAGGAAGGTTCTGTGACCCCCTCAGTGAACAGAACCCAGGAGATGCGGGGTGAGTTGATAGCAGAGGTGGTTGTGAGGATAAAACTTGTCCTGAAGCTGAGGGATTAGACCCAGGGAGAGGCGGGAGAGCTGAGATGGGCTGAGGCTGGGTGTGTGGGTCCCCTGTTTTCTCTCTAAGTGCATCTGCTATCTGTGTGTACAATAATGCCACATGGCAAACAAACACAGACCCCAGGGGCATACCAAAATAAGTGTTTATCGCTTACATGCCTTGAGTGTTCACCTTGGCAGCTCTGCCAATCTTGGCTGGCTCAACTAGGCGCTTCTGGTCTCGGCTGGACTTGGTCCCTGCGTAGCAGTTGGCTAATTTAGGATGGCCTTGCCTTTTAGGATGGCCTTGCCTGAGACGGTGAGGTGACTTGAGTCAGCTCCATGTGGCTCTCACGCTCCTCCTGGGACCCATGGGAGCCCGACATGCCCTTCGCATGACGATGGAGGAGGGTAAGGGCACTAGAGAAAAGGTGTAAGGTCCTGCACAGCCGAGGTCTGGAACTGCCACATCCTATGAGTTAAAGTTCATAAGAGATGAAAATACAGACTCCACCATCCATCATCAGTTGGCAAAGGGCATGGATACAGGGAGGGTGATACAGTCATGTGCTGTTGGGAGAAGGGGTGCAGTAGTCCTTCTGTGGGGACCCTTGGTGGGGGACAGGGGTCTGTGAAGTTCTCAATGATGGGTCCAGCCAGGACGGTCCAATGGGGCAGCATTTATCCCTCCCTGACCCCCACCTCCTCTGCTGCCTCCCTGTTCTCCTCATTCTTCCACCTGTCCACCTGTCTACCTGTCCACCTGTCCTCGGCCACTTGCACTTGGTGATTCTGAGGAGGTGGGATCTGTGCTGGGCTTCTGGGCATCGGCTCTGTGGGGGCGCGTGTTGGAGAAGCTGGCTGGGCTCCTGGCCATAGAGAAGCTTAAGGAGCAGCCAGAGAGCTCTCAGGTTCACACAGTCTGTGCCCTGCCCAGGAAGGCCTGAATGAAGCACGGGTTCCTGGAAACCTTTGTCCCACCAGCAGGACCT